ACCTGACCCTGGGGTCACTTTCCTCCCTGACCCCAAGCGTGGCAACTGGTCTGACCCTGAGCAAAGGGCCCAGACCCTCTAGCCAGGACCCTTGTCCTGGGATGGGCAGAGGAGCCCTGGGGGGGTGGGACCTGCACCCACGTGCCCAGCCAGCCGCAGCCCCCTGCGACACAGGGGCAGACGCTGAATCTGTGATGCAAGGAGAATTGCGTGAATTGTGCTGGGACCCCCGTGGGAAGCAGGTTGGTAGGGGGAGAGGCCGGACGTGGGGGTCCGGAGGCTGACAGCGGAGGGGTCTCATCTTTCCTCTGCAGCTGGTCAAAGACTGCAAAGGCCTCTATGCTGAGGAGAAGGAGCCCCCGGTCATCACAGCCAAGTGCGAGGACGCGGGTCAGGAGGTAAGTGATGCCGGCAGGTCCTGTCCGGTCCCCGCGGGGCCAGGCCGGGGTGGGGGTCCCTCACTTCATGGCCCGTCCCGGTGCTGGACCGTCCCAACACGAGGGTGCAGCTCTGGATGCCTGGCCCGCGTTGGCCAAGCATCCTGCCCCGTGACCCTGGCTGTCAAATCCTTTAGTCCCCAGCAGGGACTTAGGACAGGATGGGGGTTGAGGGCCGTGAAGCCGAGTGCCCAACAGGACCCAGGTCCCCCCCAACATGCCCTGTGGGCAGGAAGCAGGTCTCGGGGGGGCGTCCCCACTACCTCCCCGTGGTGGAGGCTCTGACCCCCCTCGCCCCGCACCCACAGGCACCAGACTCAGGTCTTATTTATAGACAGGTCCACAGGCCAGAGGCATGCACGGCCGGAGGTGATAGGACGCGTGCCAGCTGCACCATCCTTCCGGCAGACACGACCCCGCTCCCCACAAAGCCCAGGGGTGATCCCTGTCCAGGACCCCCGACCGGCCCTCTCCTGCTCTGTGACCCGGACCTGTGCCCTATGCCCTCTGCCTGCTGCTCTGTCCAGACTGGAAATGGCTTGGGGCAGAGCCCGTCTCCTGTTAGCACTGCCCTGGGTGGGACATCCTGCATCCTGCACGGGCTCGCTCACCTTCGGTCTTCTCCCTCTCTCCAGCCTCAGCTCGTCAAAAGAGTGAACTGGGCGAAGGTAGGAAGGACAGCGCTTAAATTGCTACCCTACATCTT